CGCAGTCTGCGCTTATAGTTTATACTAGTATATTTTATTACCCTAAAACCCAAGGTCTGGGACCCGAAAGGGTCTGTGAAGTTTTTCCTTGCTGGGTGTATTCTGCCTCCCTGGTGCCTCCCTGGTGCCTCCCAAGCTCTCCAATAGGTCCTTTCCTGCCTCCCTGGTGCCTCCCAGGCTGTCCCATAAGTCCTTTCCTGCCTCCCTGGTGCCTCCCTGGTGCCTCCCAGGCTGTCCAATAGGTCCTTTCCTGCCTCCCTGGTGCCTCGCAGGCTGTCCAATAGGTCCTTTCCTGCCTCCCTGGCGCCTCCCTGGCGCCTCGCAGGCGGTCCAATTAGTCCTATCCTGCCTCCCTGGTGCTTCCCTGGTGCCTCCCAGGCTGTCCACTTAGTCCTTTCCTGCCTCCCTGGTGCCTCCCAGTCTGTCCAAATGGTCCTTTCCTGCCTCCCTGGTGCCTCCCTGCGGGACGATGCCGATCGGGAAGGTCCGTGAAGTCTTATCTTGTTGAGTGGCTGTTTCGAGCCTCCCGGCTATGCAAGTGACCTCTTGGTGCCTGCGGGCTGTCGACGTGGCCTTTCAGTGACTCCTGGCTGCATCCCAGAATACAGCCTTGCCTTGGCAGATTACTGGAGTCACCCGGTCTTGCCAGATTACTGGAGGCATCTGGTCTTAGGCCTGGCAGAACCCAGCCCTGCCTTGGCAGATTACTGGAGTCACCCGGTTTTGCTTTAGCAGATTACTGGAATGGCTATTGCCAAAGTGCACCCAACCAAATGCCTACGATCATATCCGTAATCTCTGCTTCGACTGCAAATTTCTGGATCATCTGGCCCTGGGATTTTCCCCTTGACAATACCCCTTGCCTAGACTTTAATCAAGCCAAATGTTTCTGCTTCAATTGGCTACTACCAAACTGCCCCCAACCTAGGGCGACATCAGTGGTCTGTATGTCAATTGATTGCAACTAAATGGATCCCTGCTTTCATCCTATGGTCCTTGCTGTAATTGGCGACCGCCAAAATACCCCCAACCAAAAACCCACATCCAAACCCAATTTGAAAAATGAGCGCAGCTCTGCCCGCCCGGCCCAGGGTTTTCATAAAAAAACCTACGACGCGCCGCCCCGCGACGCGCCGCCCCGCGACCCTTTGGGTCGAGGCGCGTCGTTTCCCAATGGAAACCCTAAACCCTAAACAGAACAAATCATATGAACGAAATCGCCAAGGTCGCAATGGAAGAAAGCATCAATATAGGCCAATCAGCGTGAAATGGTGACATTATTCTTGGTAGTTTAATGCGCTGGTCAGTTGGTGCTTCGATCTGAGCGTTGTGAGTTCAGTGACGATTGATATGGGTGTTACTCAAAGGTTGCTCAAAGGTAAAGCAACCGCACCCTGGCATGTGGCGTCGTATTTGCAAGTAATTACAGTATAAGAAATTCTAAAGCGTCCGCAAGTCGGACGTACTTCATCTAAATTTTCCGGTGAGTATCGTCGCTCCTGATATTGTTGCCTTCTTGTCACGTTTGTCATCAGCCCTGCAGCAGCCTATCATATAGGATGGGTTCTTCTTCAAATTTCCACTTGTAATCAATTCAATGAAGGAATGAAGGATCTGCTTGTTGCCATTAACTTTTGAGAATCATACACTATATCATCATCTGTATTACAATATCTCTTTCCATAACTTTTATAGCTGCATTGATTCTTTTCGATTCAAACACACATAATCGATAATTAATTTAATTTAATGTTTTCATTATGAAGAAATAATGCATATAATTAAAGAAACGATCAATACACATATTAATACAATATATTATGTGATTCACATATACTATATATATATGTAGTGTAATTAATTATTTTGCAAGAAAACATAATTTATACAAAAACCACAAGACTTGGATAATAAATATAATATCTGGTGGAGGTGGTTCCTCACTGTCGTCAATTCGGAAGGAGACTGCAAAGGACAATGACAAATACAGCAAGGAACAACAAATTGCTACGTAAATACAGCCGATCGCACCGGCTTCTTGCCGCACTTTTACGTCCTTGCTCCAAATTGCTCATGCTAAAATTCTGGTTATTCATAAAATTTTCCTTTCACCATTAGACCCTACTAAGGGTTCCCTCCGCCTGCCACGAATCTTTTCGCGTCCGTACATCTAATACGCACAAAGTGCCGCGCCTGTCACGAAGTATCAACCCCGTCACACCTTGCAACTTCCGGAAAATATGGTAGCTTCCACCACAGTCTGGAGTTACAATTGTTTTCTTTTCTATACGCAAAGGATGCAACCTTAGTTGCCTCTACCCATAAACAAAAACTACTACCACGAAAACTCTGCATCATTTAGCACCTTTATCACATGTGAATATATATCTATCCAAGTCTTATCTTTATTTATTCTTAGCCTATCAACAATTACTTCTTTAATTGTCCTTATCATTCTCTCAACCTAATTAACGTGGGTTTTTATTATGTGTTCTATCCCTTCTCCTTTAAAATAGCCTTGTAATTTCTTGCTGTTTTATGCTCCTTCGTCTTCAAAACAAATTAATAATGGCTAACCTAATACCTTAAAACATTCCATTACAATATCATAAATATCATCAATATCGTTATTTTCCATTAGCACTATATGACATTTTTTACTAAATATGTCTATACATACCAAGCCAAAAATAGGTTGATGTTTTTATTTCATTTTTAACATCCCTCAATAGATTTGTCATAATTATCAAATCAAATTGAGACTTATATTTAAGATAAGGGGCAATATAAGAATTAAGATTCTTGTAATTTCTTATTTGTTTATTTGTTTGGTTAAGATTTCATCCACTGTGAAACCATATCCAAAGTTATGCCTACGTCGATTTTCCTAGCCTTTTCGTCCAAATCCCTCCCCGAACCGAAGCCCTCCTCCACGTCGTAATATATGTTTTCCAATACCTTTTCTTTTGCCAATTTTTCTTTTGCCAATCTTATCACTAAAAAAACTTAGATTATATTTTTATAATGTTTTCTTACATCATAAAATCATAATGAATTTCCATTAAACACCTTTGGCACTTTTTGGTTTTCTTGTGTTTTACCAGATTTGACTTGCAGCTCATGGCAGAACCGCATATATCGCATACGCACAGTCGTTTCGTCTTCTCTTGGTAATATCTTTGGAAATATTGTTCGTCGTTCGGTTTTCTATTGTAGTATCCGTCGTGCTGCCTTCTCCATTGGGGTTTTGTGGGCTTTTGGACTAATGAAATTGCTTCATAGCTTTCTTCAAACGAAGAAGACGTTTCGCTGTCATTGAGTTCTTTGTTGCCAAAACCGTTCCAAATAAAGGCAAAGGTTTCATTCATCATCGGGATTTCAGCTCCACTACTTACAAAGTAACAACGCATATGGGATATATAATTACCTATATATCTTAATATTTATTTAAGTATGTTCATCCTCAATAGGAACTATGTATATCAGTTTGTGTTTGTGGCATCGCATACAAGTCCCTAACACGAACCCCAAAACGGTTTCGATATCAAAGTTTATAGGCTTGAGCATTTTACCCTTCCAACTTCCCACCGGTTGATTTACTTTTAGTGACATCCAAACCCAAACATGTTTGGCGTTCAAAACAGTGAGACTTGAGCTTTGTCGCAAGCCAATCCAAAAACCAAACCAATTTCGCCCAAATCGAGCCAGTCTTTCCCTAAAAGCGAGCCAGTCTTTCCCTAAAACAGAGCCAGTTTTTCCCCAAAGTCGGTGGCTGATTTCCCCAAAATCGGTGGCTGATTGTCCCAAAGTCGGTGGCTGATTTCCCCAAAATCGGCGACGGATTTCCCCAAAATCCGTGACGGATTTTCCCAAAGTCGGTGACAGATTTCCCCAAAATCGGCAACGGATTTCCCCAAAGTCTGTGGCAGATTTCTCCAAAGCCGGTGGCAGAATCGGTGACGGATTTCGACGGATTTCCCCAAAATCGAAGGCAGATTTTCCCAAAGCTGGTGACGGATTTCCCAAAAATGTGGTTGATTTTCCCAAAATCGGTGGTTGATTTCCTGAGAGCCCAGCCTCGTTCAGCGGAAGCCAAAAATGCAAAAAACACTTTTGTACATACTTGCTCAAAACACAAAAACAATGAGGGATTTCCAGCCCGCAATCCACTCGTGGAGCTTGCAGGAAAACACAACCGAGGGTGAACCTGTGGATTTCTCAAAAGAACTGCTCCCAAGACCAATTGTTCGAATTTTCTCAAAATTGTCAATACCTTTCCCCCTTCTTGCTTAACCCTGTCAAAGGCACACCAAACTTTGTCCACTTCTTTTCCACGGATTTTCAATAATATTCCTCCAGTTTTCTTTTCAAGTTTCTCTCAGGAAAGCCGGTTCAATATCAAGCACTTACCTTCTCCCACAATGCATGGTTGGATTCGTGGCTGTGCTTGGGCGTATACATTGCCCGAGTGAAACGTATCTTGAACAGCTTTTTGGTTCACTGTTTCTGCACCCGCTGTGTGCACAACCTGCTGGACAAGAGTCTCAACGCAGTGTCTCATATCTTGTGAGTGATGCACGGTCATGCCACAGCGACATCCACTCTACATTTACTCCAAAGATGGAATTCGTTGAAACTATTGGGAACCCTTGCTCTCAATTGGTTTCACCTCAGCCACAGAAGGGCAAGACAAGTGGAACGCTAGGCGTAACGCTGCTGAGAGAAGCACTCACGCTGATGGCAATGTGAAGCCATAGCAATCTGTCCTTAAAACTGGAGGGAAAAACACAAACTTGAAGTGTGGTCAAACCAGCTGTTTCTCGAACCAAGCGCAACTCAGAGGCGGCAAAAAAACAAAAATACATCAGAAGGTTGTAACATTGACATCAGTTTGAAGCCCTGCATGGTTAAAAGCTGCTCAAAACAAAACACCAAGTGCCGGGCTTAGACGGGCCGCGATTGACAGATGCTTCTTCATCTTCCCTAATCCAACTTCCATCCTGCAAATCCGCGATGAGCAAACTGGTAAACCACAATGCTGCAAAGGCAAGTTGAGACGGTGGTGTGCAAGGGGTTGGGTGAGGTGTTGTGAAAGAAAACAATTGGACAAATTCACCTGACCAGCGATTGACAAAAGAGTGAAAAGTGAAAAGGTAGCAAAGACATTGCAATGCAAAGCGCTGAGTCGAGCAAACAAACGCTGAGAAATTGAAGCTAATACAACTAGCAAACGAGTTAGTGGCATAAACAACGGCTCGTCCTGTTGGCTAAAAATATCAATTTCATCTGCGTCACACTTCACTTTGTTCGGTTTCTCTGCCTTAATTGCCTCACGGCAAAACGACAATAACCACCATGCACTTGCACACGCGTTGAAGAAAACACGTCTGGCTTGCATCGCTGCCTGCTTTGTTTGTCTTCTTCATTCAGCGTTCACCAAGGCACAGCATCAAGTTTGATTGAACAATAACAAGCTCTGAGCTCTGGACTTTCTTCAAATAGGCAATATTGGAGGGCACTGGGTCAATTGGGAAAGCGTTGCCCATCTGCTCGAATGTATCACCGTCCTGCAATTGCAACAGGGGGTGGGCGACAGCAAATGGCTGCGCCTTTCGATAAGCAAGTGCAAAAGAACAATGCGCATGACAAGGAATGCAATGCATTACACAAGAATTTTGACCTTGGGATGTGAAAATGGCTGAGGGAAATTTCTTCATGAAGTTTCAGCTGAACAAACCACTTCTGTTCTTAACCTACCACTAGTCAAAGGCTTGAAAAGGAACAAAGGCATAAACTGTTGCATTGACTTTTGCAAATTACAAGCCTTTGTTTGATGCTTGAGTGGGAGAACTGACGGAGCACAACCCTACTTTTATTCACACGACCAATCAACACCGGCTTTCGCACAGGAACTTTGCAGAGGAAGAAACAAAACAAACATAAGGATGTAAAAACAAGGTTGCTTGTTCAACGGATGCAACTTTCAACTGTCAACGTCTGTTGAGGTGGGACTTTTTTGGTTTTTCGTCAAAAAGCTCTTCCTACACCTGTCAAAAGGGCATAGCAAAGGAACAAGGGCATGGCAGAAAACATACAAAGTCTTAGTCTAAATCCTCTCTATCAAATTGCGGAAGATGTTGAGAAAATATCATTCAACAAATCCTGAGGAATAAATACGCTACTGCTTGCTTTTTGTGCATAAAACATTTACTTCCCTCAAAAGAACATGGCAAAGGAACAAGCAAAGGGCAAAGAAACAATATGTTGCGTCTAAGTCCTTTCGAAGTTGAATATGACAACATCCAAATAAACAACCATGCAATCGCCCCAACCGTGCTGAAACAAACCGTGACAAGGCAAAGGATGCCAGAAAGAAGGCTGAACTTGAGGCCAGGGGGAGGAGGTCGAAAGCTAGCCGAATCGCACCGGATGTACTAGTCACATAGTCGGCAAAGCATGTAGTGAGTACATGTTCTGGGAGGAAGGTTGCTATGTACATACTTTGCGCTAAAGAATGTAAACGTGACATCGCTGACTGGGACTGGGAAGGGTACATTGGAACAACTCGGGTGCACTCGTTGGCAGGCACGAAGATGCGTGATCGGCAAATCTAGGGGTAAATTTACCATCCGCATTTCTGACATCATACGGACTGTACATACACTAGGGCGTCCGTAGTGTAGGAGAAGCACGGGTAAAAGGTATATGGGATAGAGTGTCTTGAGGAAATAGCCGGCTTATGGTTATTGCAAATCTGGGGGGTAAATTTACCACCCGCTTAGGTATGCCTTGTGCCGGAAAGAGGAGTAAGCATTTCTGGCATCACAAGGACTGTGCAAACACTAGGGCGTCCGTAGTGTAGGATAAGCACTGGTAAAAGGTATAAGGAGCAGAGTGTCTTGAGGAAATAGCCGGCTTATGGTTATGGCAAATCTGGGGGGTAAATTTACCCCCCGCTTATGTATGCCTTGAGCCGGAACGAGGGGTAAGCATCACAAGGACTGTGCATACACTAGGGCGCCCGTAGTGTAGGATAAGCACTGGTAAAAAGGATGTAAAAGGTATCAGGAATAGAGTGTCTTGAGGAAATAGCCTGTGTATGGTTATAGCAAGCCTTGGGAGTAAATTTGCCACCCGCTTATGCATGCGCTAGGTTAGAAATAGGGTAAACAACTTGTAAGGGTGAAGTACAAGTCCTATGCAGCAAGCAGCAGCCAGCAGCAGCAGCAGCAGCAGAAGAAGCAGCCGCCAGCAGCCAGCAGCAATCGCCAAGCAGCCAGCCAGCAGCACCACGCAGCAGCAGCGCAGCACCAAGCCGCAGCAGCAGCAGCAGCAGCACCACCGGCAGCAAGCAGCAAGCAGCATCGTCAGCAACAGCAGCAGCAGCACCAAGCCGCAACAAGTAGCAAAGCATGAACTACCTCAAATGATCTCAAATATACACGCAACTCATTATCATTATACCTATCAGTTTGTTAACTTCTGCATTGAATGAGCCACTCGAACCAGCAAAACGACGCCAACCCTGGACGGAGGCTGAAGGAACGACGTAGCATGGAGGTGAAATGGAGCGTGCTCGCCGTAGGACATGCCTTGACCAAGGATTGTAGATGCAAACAATTGCACAAACATATGCACACCTTGCCGCTGTCTGAACACCAGCAGACATAATGGTTTCCACGGGCACTGCAACGTCCACGGGCACGGGAGAACTGCAACGGGCACGGCACGGGCACGGCGCCCAGGTAGCAAAATGGTCACAGAGACTTGGCGTTAACGCTGGGCTCTGTGTCCAGGCCCTGTCCTCCTCTTCTCCTTGTCTTGGCCGCGCCCCTGAACTCTGTTAACTCTGTGGCTGGGCTCTGTGTCCAGGCCTTGTTCCTCGTCTTGGCCGCGCCCCTGAACTCTGTCTGGGCCCTGCGGCTGGGCTCTGTGTCCAGGCCTTGTCCTCCTGAACTCTGTCAATGTGGCTGGGCTCTGTGGCTGGGCTCTGTGTCCAGGCCTTGTCCTCCTCTTGTCTTGGCCGCGCCCCTGAGGCTCTGTGTCCAGGCCTTGTCCTCCTCTTGTCCTCGTCTTGGCTGCGCGTCCACCCCCTGCTTCTCGTACGTACAAAAAGAAACCCTCTGGCTGGGGGGCTTCCAACGCTAGTGTAGCCATGAGGTGGCCGCCAACCCTAGTGTAGCGAGATGGCCTCCAACCCTAGTGCAGCGAGATGAGATGGCCTCCAACACTAACACGTCAAATTATTGAGAGGGAAGGTGGAAATATTGTAAATGTTGAATAACAAAATGTTTGGGCCCAGCAGTTGACCCTAGTATGCGCTGGCTATCAATCCACAACCCTTCCCAACATAATACAATGTATCGTGCTTCAAACAATTTTTCGGTTCTGACATCTTCCAAAGTTAGTCACTAGCACGGGCACGGCGCGTAACACGCGCACGTAGAACGCCCACGGGCACGGCACGGGAGGCACGGGCACGGTGAAACCAACTCTTTATGCCAGCAGAGCTATCACGCAATTCATTCAGTGGAATGGTGGTACGCGCCACAACAATAAGCGAAGCGGCGCAGCTGGGAGTTGAACCGCGGGGGGGGGGGTTAGCTTGATATATCAATCTTTAAGGCACGCAGCCCCTCCCACCACAACATTGCTAAAGCAAAGAAGAACTCAGCTAGCGTGCTAGCTTTCGTGACTAGCGTGGCGCCTGTTACTACTAGCGTCCTTGTTACTACTAGTAAGGCACCTGTTACTAGTAGTAAGGCACCTGTTACTACTAGCGTGGCACCTGTTACTACTAGCGTCCTTGTTACTACTAGTAAGGCACCTGTTACTAGTAGTAAGGCACCTGTTACTACTAGCGTGGCACCTTTACTACTAGCGTCCTTGTTACTACTAGTAAGGCGCCTGTTGCTAGTAGTAAGGCACCTGTTGCTACTAGCGTGGCACCTGTTACTACTATGTGAGCGCACGTACGAACGAGCGAACGCGCGCGCAGCTGTTTACGCTCACAAGGACGAGCGGAGGGCAACATACTTCTTCAACCCTAAAACAGTTTTTTCAACCCTAACCTTTTTTTCAACCCTGCAACATTTTTTTAACCCTAGAACATTGTTTTTTGACGCTGTAACATTCGTTTTTAACCCTTGTACATGCTTTTTCGACCCTGGACCCTTCTTTTTCAACCCCGTCCATGTGGGTCCACCAAACTGATACCCGTAACTGGAAATGCGTTAACTTGCCCTTAGCCCATTTATGAAAATCCAGTAACATCTCTGGCCAGTCTCAGATCTCAGTAAAAGTATGCAAAAGTTGGTTTCCTATATCCTACAAACTTGTTTCGCGTTGCGCTTCCACTTCCCGAGAATGGTCCTTTACACAAGTCCCAGCACCCACGGGCCCATTCACAAGTTCGATCGAGCTATACAACAGAAAGCGTACTTGCCTATATATAGATATATGTCGGTGCACATGTCGGCAGTAGTTGCCAGGACAATCTCTCGATGCAAGTGTGCGCATGAGCCTAGCCTTTCCTCATAGGCTGGAGTCTGGAGGGCAGCCCGTGAGCCAAGAGCCAGACATGCCAAACACAAGCAATCACAATCGATAATTACAGTTCATGAAGCGACGCCCTTCAGACCCTTGAGAGCAAATGCACAGAAGAGTTGCTGTAGCAGGACGACATATTAACATGAATTCAAAAAAACTCAAGGAACTAATGCGTAGGGTTATTGTCTTTTTGGGGGATGCCCCCTATCGTTTTAAAGGAAAGCACAAAATCACACTCTTGGATGCAACGCCCTTGTATAAGTATTTTTGAAAAGCACTCGTATGTCTTTGCTCACCCCTCCCCGGTAACCTGCAAACGGTTAACCGCGACATCAAATGAGAAACACCATCTGTCATCTCTATCTCCAGGTGCTCACATCGATCACAGTGAGGCTGTTTAGCGATAAGGTTCTTTTTTCTGGCTATTGACAATATATGACATTAATTGACACGAAGACCGACTGTCGACATGAAAAGAATTCATGTGTACATATCGTTGTTTGAGAGCCCGAGCCCTTGCTAGTGATTCAGCGGAGACACGGCGAGACACGGCGTGAAACCAGTTTTCAACTGTTGAGCAAGCTGTGAGTCAAGGTCGAACGTAATCGGTAACTAGCTCTCGGGACTTTACAAACTGATCTAGCTCTTGCGAGCATGGATCTAAGTGCGTTCCGCAACCGGGTCCCTCTGAGGTCTAGTGTGTGATCCCCACGGGGCGCGTTGAGCATAGAGCATAGACCCTTAACAAGGAAGTGTCAGTGATCACTTGTCTTGCGTGACTCCTCCCTGATTAGTGAGATTGCTGAAAGCTGACTGCCGCCAACGGCTGCGGATATTTGTTTGAACTTTCTTATTTTGTTGTTTGTGCTTCGTTGCGCCGTACTTTGGACCTTGAAGTGCAGATTTCATGGCAGGCGCAGTACTGTGCGGTCTTTGAAGCGCAGCTTTCGTAGCAGGCGCAGTACTTTGCGGGCCTTGAAGTGCAAGTTTCGTGGCAAGCGCAGTACTTTGTGGACCTCGAAGTGTAGTTTTCGTCATAGGCGCAGTACTTTGTGGACCTTGAAGTGCTGATTTAGTGGTAGGTGCAGTACTTTGTGGACTTTGAAGTGCAAATTTCGTGGCAGGTGCAGCACTTTGTGAAGTGGAGATAGAGATAGATAGATAGATTAGATTAGGTTGGATTGGATTGGATTGGATTAGATAAGATAAGAATAGATAGATAGATAGGTAGATAGATCGATAGACAGATATGTAGACAAATGGATAGAACAGCGTGGAAAGACGCTACGCTAAAAGCTGGGTGGGGTTGAAGTGTAGGGTTTTGCAGGTCATGTGTCTTTAGAGCGAAGAAACATGCGCAGCTTTCTTGATGTCTTGTGAAAGCTCATGCATTACACCTGGGCTATGCACCGCAGCCCTTTGCTTGCGCGAGAAACAAGAGCTTTTTGCTGTGTAGGTTATGAGCCCAAGGGTGCGCTAGGCACTTTTGGGTATCGTAGAGGGCCTCATGAGCGAGGAAGCATCGGAGAGAACTCCGGAATGTGGTGGCCTCAAAGCCATTGAGGATGCAGGCCCTAGTGACGGGTTGATGCGACCTAGTGGGCCTCCTGTGGTGCTAGGACCAGCTGCGGTGAATCCATTCTGGTCCGAAAGGTTCCTAGATGAAGCTGTTTTGCGGGCTCTACGTCCAGCTGACTTGCCAGTAGAGCCACCTGAGTTGCTCCCTGATTCTGCCTTGTCGCCGCCGAAGGAAGGGGTGGAGGCATTTCGTACCTTCTTGCGCGGCCTGATGTCGGAAAATGCAAGACTCTGGACTGAGCGTGAATCTTGGGCAGCTGGACAAGGAAACCATGGGTGGGGCAATCCATCACCGGCTTTCAATCATCCACCTCCGTGGGTGTATGGCATGATGTCAGAAGGTCAACAAAGAGAGAAGAACATGATGGATTCACTGCTTGAGGCATTGCGGTCTTCGTGGGTGTCTTTAGGGGATGGTGGGCAAAAAGGCTCTGGCGGAGATTGTGGAGGGCGGGGTGCTGTTCATGGTCTTTCAGGCGATCAGGGAGGTCTTCATGGGCACTTTGGGGGACCGTGCGCAAGTCTCATGGAAGTGTTCAATCGTGTCTCGGCGACTTCAGGAGATGTCATGCAGGGCATGGTGGAAGCTTCGAAGACTTTGGCAAGGCATGGTTTCGGGGGTCAATGGCCTGAACAGCCATCGCTATCGGAGCTCCAGGGTGGCACAGTTGGAGGGCAACCTGGCGCAGGACAAGGTCTTTCCAGTCAACCTGATCAGCCAGATCAGTCTCGGGGGCCAAGTTCTTCGGTTCCTCAACATTCGAGCTCCAATGGACGTGGAGGTCAACATCCTGCGGTGGTGGTCGTCGTGGAGGTGGCCATCATGGTCTTGGAGGGCACGATCGTGGCCTCTCGTCAGTGAGTGGGCGCACTGGGGAGTGGTCTGGGTGGCAGCTGTTCAGGGGGGTCGGAGGACCGGGTGGAGGCTTTCCTGGGGGTGCTCCAGCCGGTGGCTTTCCTGGCGCTCCAGGTGCTGGCCCAGGTGCTCCAGGTGGAGGAGATCCCCACGGGCCATCCCACCGTGGTTGGGAGGGCTCATGGCCCAACAGGAAACAGTCAGGGCAGTTGAACTAGGAGCTTTCGGAATCAGAGATCGGTCCATTGATCGCTGGAGATTGGTTGACAACCATCGGCCCTTTCCTCAGGGATATTTGCGCCAGTTCTTCACTTTGGTGGGATGAGGTCTTGAATGCGGCGGGTGCCCTCTACCGGGTTTGGCTGAATTCTGAACCTATGGAGCGGCTTCGTTTGGTTCCGATCACACCTCCAGCCTTTCAGAGGCCACCACGGTTGAGAATAGAGCAACGAGGTTCAGTCGCTCTGCTGAAGGCGATTCCTGAGTCCCTGAGATCGGTTGGTGTCACAGAGAGAAGTGGGCTCGGTCAGCAGCATTGTCTTCAAGGTGCTGAGAGTATACCAGCCTGGAGGTCTTGGGGAGCGAACAACGTTGGCTGAAGCAGTTGGTGGATCAGAAGGTGCTGGGTGAATGGCTTTCATCACTTCGGGCATGGAGGAGGTGGCAAAGCAATCGACACAAGTGGCCTTTCGCTTGCAGGCCCAGATCATATCTGGGAAATTAGCCAAAATACACCTTTGGATGATCACCTCTACGTTCCAGAAGGGGCATTTGCCACAACACACCTGGCTTTGACAAGCTAGCAGCGCGAAACTGTTCAGCAGTTCACTGCAAACGCCAAAGAGAAACATTCCTTCAAAATGTCTTGACCTGGAAAACTGGTGTTGCTGGGAAAGTGCAACTGCATTGTTGTGCTAAGTTGCCCAACAAAGGCAAATAGTGGAAAGAACGGCTAAGTTTTCAAACACTAGTGGGCCTGGCTACAAACTAATGTAGATTGCGCTTATGACCTATGACTAGGGCCAGGATGACTGGGGTTGAGGCTAGCGGCTAGTCACCAGTGACTGGGAGCCTAGTGCCTAGTGACTAGGAGCCCAGCGGCTAGGCCCTGTCACCTTCTAAGCCTCTAAGCCTTACCAAGGCTATATGGCCCCAAGGTCGGCTGGGGCTGGGTTTGCTGTGCTCCAGACAGGCAGACAGAATCGGATCTGGCTAAGGCGGTTACGGTTAAGCAGCTAGCGGCAGCAGGCTAGCGGTCGGCAGCGGCTAGCGGGTAGCGGCTAGCGGCTACGGCCAAGCTAAGCGCGGTCAAGGCGGCTAACGGCTAAGGCTGGGCGGCTAGGCAACGGCTAGGCTAAGGCAGGCTGTGGGTTGGCCAGAGGCGGGGCCATGATGCAAGAAATGCGGGCCCCGAATCGGCGCCCATCTGGGCCTCTGGGCGGGGGCCAGCATTGTCAACAATGGTCTTCGCAATTTTGGTCTTTCCGAGGGACTTGCCCCCAATGACAAGGTACAAACCAGACCTTCCCATAGCCTGACCAAGTTGCGTGACATCTTGAACTGTATCACAATTTAGTTAAGCTGAAGTCAAAGAAAGTGACAAGGGTTCAGGGATGTCAACACCAAACAACCACCACAACCTACGGAGTGGGAGGTGTTCAGAGAGGTATCCTATGGTGTGGAGAACCCTAGCACGGGATGGAACACGACGGGGAATCCCAGAGGGATTGGTCCCCGTTGTGTTGGAGAGGTGTGTGGTGTGGCCGAAAGGGGGGCTCGGTACGGCACACCCGAAAGGAACACACAACACGAATGCGAACGCGCGAAATGCAACGAGCGAGTGCGGATGCAGGCGACCGACGAGCGAGCGACGTGCACCCTGAAACGCGCAGCGGACGCACGTTTCTTGAGCCAAATGTGTCGGTACGACACGGAGTCTTGTCCTGTACATGTTGTCCATAAGGCATGACAAGTTAGGGGTTACATCTGTGTGTAAAACTTTGACTCCCCCCCTCGCCGTTTTGGCGTGCCCCAGGACATTATGTACATGGATTAATTACCGCGCAGGATGCAGCGGCTTTGTCCTCTACCCTAGACCCTAACGAAAAGCTTCGGTCCCTGGAGGACGGCTGTGGCTCGCGGATATCGGTTCGAATGCCCAAAAGGCATAAGGCCTTATACCACTTTTGTGGTGGTAGAGCCTTTGTGAAGATGTCCGCGGCTTGCTCGTTGGTGTCTATGTATTGGACTGTGATACATGGGTCATCGAGGCACTCTTTTAAGGAGGATAGGTCCTGTGATTCCGAAAAAAAACACTGAACACCAAAACGCACAAGGTCTTTAGCAACCTGAGAAGAACAAGGGGAGATATTCAACTCTCAAGGCATTTGATGTTGGGGTGGGAGATCGTTCGAACTTGTTTGGCAAAAACGCTTGATGAGGGAACAACCGGAATGAAAAAGAATACCATGGCTTCTTGCGTTCTGAATGGAACAAATCTATTCCCTACTTCTTTTGAACGCAAGCTGAAGTTGGCATGAATGGCAGGACATGGAAGGCCTATGGCATTCTTCCCAAGCATGGCCGAAAAATAATACAGTTTCTGAACAAACTGCCTTTAACACAAAGCAAGTGGGAGAAGTAATGAAACACCACCCTACCTTTATTGACATGGCAGTCCTTCTGGAGTTGCCTGACCCAGACTGCTGAATTCGCTGTGCTTCTGCCACCTTGAACGGGTGAGGTCTAAGGTGGAACATACTACTGCGCACCTTCAATAGTCTCAATCCCCCCCTACAATTACAAACTCAGACGGTACTTCAAGAATACAAATCTCAACAAATGTGCAAACCAAAACAATGTGAATGCTTCAGTCGTCTGCCTTGTCCCTGTTGTGGTGCTTCTGGTCTTCGACCTGTCTTCAAATACTCCTTGATGTCCACCGGTTTCCACCCGCCAACTTCATCAGGCACTTGGGTCATGTTCAGAACCCTCTCCGCATTTTCAGCCTTCAAGTACTCCTTCAAGTACTCCTCTGCCTCTCCTTTTGACCATCTGTAAGAAGGCGCCTTTCGCTGCTCTAGGAGACGGGTGCGTGCTCCGTTGAGATAGGCTACCTTGTTAGCAGCTTCCTCACTTTGTGTGACGGCAATCAGGTGGTGGTCATATTCATGAGCAGCTCTGGTGAGAGTCAAGAGGTCTGTCTCTTGTCCCCCCAGTCCGATATCAAAGGTGTTGTCAAAGACCATCTGTAAACGAATGCCGTGCTGTTTCAGGATACGAAACAGCTCCCCAGCCACATCCACAGCATCTGCAACATCTTCAACGCGGAAGAAGTCCTTGAGGTTCTTCTGGAAATCTCGCTGTAGGAACACCGTAACTGCAGACTTCTGTGTGCAATTCCGAAGTGCCAGTGCTGCGGCGACAGACTTGCCGACCCCCGGCTCGGCATGCACAGCAGAGAGACCACCTGTTCGGTTGTCGTTCAACACTGTTATCATCAACCGCTGGAAGCCAGTACCTTCGACTGTCTGTTCAGGTAGTTCTACTACTTGCGGGATGATGGTTTGCTGTGACCGCATCACGTTCAGCAATCTCTCGGCATGATCTTTGACTTCTGGCGACATACTTGCCAGCAGTGGGACTTCGGCAAATTGTGTCTCAAACCATGCCTTCCGCTTACCCACGAAATCAAAACCGCTTATTGCAGATGACGCAGCACCCAACGCTGCGGCTGCGGCTGGGTCAACCGCATGGACCCCCACGCTCGTTGGCTGTGCTTTCTCGCTGTGACTTTTGGCGGTCCAAGAGCCAACAAAACCGCAGAGCTCTAGGCTCACATGGGTCAAGAACGCCAGAAGCACCATCCTCCGACATCTGCGCGCCATGATGCTCGATGGACAAGGTGTTTTGCTAGTTTGAGGTCATCTTGCGTCTTTCAGAGGTTCACCGTTCCCACTATGCTGCTGTAGCACTAAATGTGAAGAACCCCCCTTTCACGAGCCTTTGCAGCGGGGTTGACTTGCAAGGTGGTTCAGTTCACATACTTCGAAGGTAGCACAAGAAACATGCAAAGAGGAATGAAAGAAAACTTTCGTCAAACTTGTTCCCTACACATGAAGGCCTTACTAGTAGTAACAAGTGCCACGCTAGTAGTAACAGGCGCCACGCTAGTAGTAACAATGTTCCTTTTTCCATTTTTTTCAACCGTTACTACTAGCGTGGCACCTGTTACTACTAGCGTGGCACTTGTTTCTAATAGCAAACATTGTTACTACTAGTGAGGCACCTGTTACTAGTAGTAAGGCGCCTGTTACTACTAGCGTGGTTTGATCGGATGATGTCTTGTGAGCTTCCAGCGCCAACCCAAGTTGGTGTCTGGATACCAAAAGCTAAACAAGGGCCCACAGCAGATTTCTTCCGCCCGTTAGGGATGCCAGATACTCTTGATCGGCTACAAGATGGCACAGCTGCTGCCATCCTCTTTCGTACTACACGGCATTGCTTTCACCCAGCACAGACTATGCTGAATGCCTTTCGAGAACCACAAAGAGCTGTGCTTGAAGTACAACGTATGCTGGAAGGAGAAATCCCTGCGTCAGCGTTATTTGCTGACCTCTCCAAAGTATTTGAACGAGTCAATGCCTACTGGATATTGCAGGTATTACACATTCGGCAATGTTCCCCGTGGGTTTTGCAGTTGGCTAAGTACCTCCTGTTTGGAAGAAGAATTCGTCACAAAGTGCAAGGGCGGCTGCTGCCTCCGCGGGAAGTCTTCTCAGGAGTTGACATGGGGAGATCTACCTCAGTGTTTTTCTTTTGCCTTGCAATGGACCCAATCTTCGTAGCCCTTAATCAGGTTCCGCGAGTCCTTCTTGTTGCAGGGTATGTTGATGACACCACAATTGTCGGGACACAACGAGACCCAGCATGGATCAAGGAAGTCTTCAGGCTTGTTATATAACACATGGTCTGCTGCAGGGGTTGTTATGGACGCGCGTACGTGCTGGCAAGTCGGTTTGTCTAGAACTCCTCTTCCTGAGCAACAGTTATTACGATTTGCTGACTATGCTGAAGCCTTTCTACCTTGGCATGAACAGGGGGAAGCTACCATCTCTGCTGCTGTCCAACATATCCCCCACTATGCACATTACTTTGTATTGCGTCATGGTGAACATTGTGCAATGCCAGTCAGCGCCAAGAATGGATGCGTCACGGACACCCCCTACTGTTTCAGCTTGCGGCTAGCCCCTGTGACTGCAGATCGAAAACCCAGCTACTGACCAGCGCTGCTTTCTCTGCTTCGCAGTGTTACCAAGTTGATCGGGCTGGTCTAGGAGGACAATGTATAGTCCCGACCACGGTCAACTTAGGTCTCACCATCCATACGGGATGGTCCTGTAGAATCCAAACCGAACAAATGGAGTTTGCGCCGCTACGGCTTTCCATGCCATCACTCCTGGCTAAACAACTCCTCAAGTTCCGCACGCGCCTCATCGCTGGGAACAAAGGCAATCTCAGTATACATGCCAAGATTATTTACTTCAACGCCTTCTCACTCAGCTTGTTTTATTACGTCCAAACACAACGTTACTTCTCTATGCCGCTTCTCAAACCATTGTATAAAGCGTTGACAGATTTCCTTCTCAAACGGCACTGGTTTCCTCAGCTGAAGCTAGTAGGCTTATGTCGATGGCTGCGTCTGGGTCCCCTGCTAGACCCAGCGATTATGCATGCTGTCTCTTTGTTTGGCTGTTATCTGAGACAAGGGCATCACATGCTCCCTGCCACGCTCAATCGCATAGAAGACTCATACACAAGACAAGTGTACTCTTGCTGGAAGTACTGGCAGCATAAACTTGCCCCGGATGAAACCCGCCAGCTTGTGTATATCCTCAGCCAGCCGCGCGACCCTACCCAAGCGGCGCGGCGTTTCCAAGAGCGCTTTAAGCAGTTCGCCATAGCAAGCGAAGTAGAAAGCGCGGTCTTTCACCTCTCGAGCAGAATTTCCAACAACGGCTGGGCGTTTGGGCCCTCCCTTGACTTTCTTGAGTGGTTGTCCCAAATGCCGGTGTCTCAGGTAGGAGCCGTACCGCGCTTTGCTGTTCTGCGGTGGGCACTTGGTGAGGATCCAGATTTGTGGCTACCCTTGCGTGGGCGGGTCAGCCGCAACTCGCCTTGCGCATGGTGTGCTCAGAATGCAAGAACATACCCGTTCGGTCCCAACAAGGGAGCCCTGTGTGTCAATTGCATGGGCGCTAACCCTGGCCAATTTGTTGAATTTCCACCAGAAGCGCTTGCTTTTCTCAGACAGCATGTCCCAGCCTGTCAGGGTAACGCCGTTGCCTATCAAGAATTGCGCGAAAGACGCGAAGGGCCCTCCTTGGTGACGTCGCCCTGACGCCGTGCGTCCTATGCCAGAGCGGGTCCAATGCCATTGACCACTGGCTCTCTTACTGCCCCGTAGTGCACATCACCTGGGCTGCCCTTCATAAAGAAACACCACCGCCAATCAACTGGCGTCAGACTCCGGCCAAACACGTAGGGGTTGCCCTCACCTACTTGTTGTTCCACCTCCGCAGGATAGTCAGGGAATATGGGGGGCTCCGCCCGAACATTGAATGTGTCAAGGTTAGGGCCATCTCAGGACATGCTCTAGATCTGTGGCAACGCACGTACCAGTCGTTTCCAGCCACTCTGCTAGCCTGGTTTCGGGCACCGCCCACCCAAGCAGACCTCCACTGCACATCCACTGCATACATACGCGTTCAACGATTTCCTCAGACACAGCTAGAGGCCGCCCTACTCCCGCACAAGGGCCTCTGCACTACCAAGGCTTTTAAGAAAGATGAAACGATAGCCACCTTTGTTACGGCCGATGCTAGATTACGGATGCTGCTGATGCAATATTTATGACGTAAAATAGCAGATAAGACAGGGGCCTCTTAAGCTCGCTTAAAGCTCGCCCAAAACTCGTTTTCAAGCTCGCTTAAAACTCGCTTGCGCTGTGCTGATGTCCAATGGAAGCCCAAGAGTCAACAGGCAAGTCCAAAGCAAATTCAACTGATCATTCAAAAGTTCAAGCAAAACTCAGGGAAAGTCCAATTAAAGCTCGCGCAAAAGTAGTTTCCCGTGGCGTGAGCGTCGTGGTGAGTTCGGTGCTAGTTTATTTCGAGCTAAGCTCGCAGAAGCTCGTGAAAAGCTCGTGCACATGCAGTTTTTGAGCTTCGATTCGAGCTTTTGTCTAGTTTTCTTCTACCAAAGCTCGTCAAAAGCTCGTCAAAAGCTCGCGCAAAGCTCGCCCAAAACTCGCTGAGCGGGCGCTTCCCTGGTTTCCCTAGCTCCTTGAGTTTCGCTTGAGCTTTCCTTTGAACCTGTGAGTTTTGCTTGGACTTTGCCTTGAACTTTTGAGTTTTGCTTGGACTTGCCTGGTGAGAGGTGAGTTTTGGTTGGACTTTTGAAGTGAGTTTGGACTTTTTTTATTCTTGTTTTTAAGTTATAGATCCCCTTGTCTTATCTAGCTATTTTAGATCATAATGCAATATGCAAAACTGCCCTTTCCAGCAGCCACTGCGACACTACTGCCGTACACATGCCAGTGTGGGGCCACCCATCTCAAACTCTGCGCCACCGAAGATATCCTGGACAATGTGGCGCTGCTACTTGGAGAAGCGTCCCAATGGAAGGGATGCCTGGTCCAGTTTGATGGCTCCGCACATAAGCGCACCCGAGCAGGTGGAGCTGGGGTTAGCCTACTCCAGGTCACTCAAAACTCTACTGCCCTTGTCCGTTGGAAGTCAGTGCCCCTTCTTAACTGTCCTGATAATGTCGTTGCGGAAGCGCATGCGTGCCTGCAAGCAGTGCACCTAGCCACTGAATTCTACCATGACAGCCTCAAACAAGGTCTCGTCCAAGATGGGGTTGTCATACAAGGTGACATTCTCCCCCTCCTAAACTATCTCCAAGGGCGTGGTCGTATTAAGAGGCTTGAAGTCGTTAAAATCCTTGAAGAATGCCAACAGCTGCTCGCGAGAGCCCCATTCATCTTTCGCCTTGTATATCTCCCAAGAGAATGCAATAAGCTTGCTGACCATTTTGCAGGCGTCGCTAGTGCAGCTGCGCAAAAGGCCTTCGATCACCCCCTTCAGGTCGTCAGCCATCGCGCCCCTCCGCCGTATCATCTCGCGCAAAAATTTGGTTTCATAATTGACCGTGGTATGTTGCATACGAGCCCTGCTTTTCTACTCACTGAATGTCCTGCGGCAGCCCCCCCGCAACTCGCTAAGCTTCTGCAGAAAAATGTGAAAGCAAGACAAAACACACAGGACTACCTCGCGACCGCAGGTAGTCACCACAGATCCCTCACAGTTGGGTATAAGCCATCCTCCCTAGACGGAAGTGGCCGCTTCTATGCCGTTGGAAATGCTGCGCAGAGGCTACCCCGCAAAGTTAGATTGATTCTCTTCGGCGCGGACCACTATGAGCTTGATATCAGCGGGGCACACTATGAACTCACAAGGAGATGCTGCGCGGCCGCAGGCGTCCACCTCTCACTACAACCAATTCGGATCGTGCGAGAATGGCTCTGTGGGGCATTTGCCGCGCCCGAGGCAACCGGAGATCCTACTCTCATAGACACCCTCGTCAAAAGGTGGCCGCTTGTCATCATCAACAGCAGCACACCGCAAGAAGCAGTTTCATACATACAGCACCAACTCCTACACCTGCGCGACCAGCAGCCTGCACAACTTGTGCGATTTGCATATGAACTGCATGCAGCGAGCCGGTACGTTATCGACAGCCCACCTGCCTGGAGTCCAACCCGGACTCTCGAGAGGAGCCGCGCTACCCCCTTTCGCTTCTATGAGCATCTAGAACAACAGCTCACATGGGCTGCGTATACGTTTCTGCAACCTTTGGTCGGCTTTCGCTCCGTTATCTGGCTGCGTGATGGTTTTTGGGCCAGTCCTGGCCCAACTGAGGCCCAGTTGACC